AGCATTAGCATTAGCATCTGTAACCCACAGGTCTGTGTCCTAACCATTAAGTTGTTATCAGAGTAAATCCCTGTTCAACATGAGTCTGACAACTAAGTAAGTAGAATAAATAACTTTAAACTTTAACACATGCTCTGATAGGCCGGGATCGGATCGGAAGTGCAAAAAGCTGGATCGGGACATCCCTACTTCCAACAGTATGCTTCGTTTTTTCACGCGTCTCTCAGTGTTATGACTTAGCTTAGCTTCCAACTAGGCTCGTCTTTTTGTTTTTGCAAAAAACTGCAGGCATGAAAAAATGCAGATCCAGACTCCTGATCCAGTTTTTTTAAGTCCAATCGGGGGTTAATAGACTATTTTCTATTCAGGTTGTTTGTGTGTTTTGGCTTTTTAATACAGTTTACAATATTATTTGCGCTTTTAACTGTTAACTGATGCCATTTCCATTTGTTATCTACAATTTTGTCTATTTTGTATTTATCCCTGAATAATGTTTATGCATTTAGACGCTTTTATCCAAAGCGACTTACAGAGTACACACAATATTACATTTATCATCGCTATGACAATAAGCTATACAGGTCAGTGTCTCTTTGTGTATTATTCAAACTCCCCTAATTCAGCTGGCTAGTTGTTATCAGAGTAAATCCCTGTTCAACATGAGTTTGACAACTAAGTAAGTAGAATAAATAACTTTAAACTTTAACACATGCTCTGATAGGCCGGGATCAGATTGGAAATGCAAAAAGCTGGATCGGGACATCCCTACTTCCAACATTATGCTTAGTTTTTCACACGTCTCTCAGTGTTAAAATCGAATTAACAAACAGTTTAGTCCGATCCGTACCTCTATTGTCCGTCCGTATTGAATCTCTGCCGCCCCACTTCTTAATGATCCACTTCCTGTAGTCGATCACTTCCTGTGTCAGCCTGATTATCCTCCCCAGTGTGCTGTGGGAGCAGAGAGGCAGAGGCGTTTTAGAGGCGTGGCGGGCCTCTATAGGGCCGGGTATTGGGGCGGGGCCTAACCTTTCCCCGTCTTTGTTTGGGTAGGAGCGCGCCAGTGGAGACACGGCGTGACTCAGGACGGTGTAGGCGTAGTCGAACACCTGTTTCACGTGCATGGCCCCGTAGGAGCCTCTCCCCACATCGTTACCTGGAGGGAAAGGAGGGTGCAGTAGTTAGTTTGAGGGGTTTTCTGACAATCATTTTCTTAAATGAGACATATTCTACCCTATTTCAACAAGTTAAGCTAGTTCCCTGGTGTCCTAATGTAATGTCTGTGACAAGCTTTGGTCAGAATCCCATAAGGATGAAGCCCAATAGCAGTTCAGTCCCCCTGCCTAACCCTAACCCTAACCCTAACCCTAACCCAAAACAGCCCCGTTCAGAGCGCTCGCTTTGGAGTGCCTGTCTCTTTAAATGCAAATGAGACACAGGCAATCCACCCACTTCTTCAGGGAGGTGTGCCCACGTCGGCACGCTAACGCTACCATGCTAACGCTACCATGCTAACGCTACCATGCTAACGCTCACGCTACCAGGACGTCTCCACAGATAGGGGAGTGAGCTGAGGGGGGGGGGCAACATGCAGGTGAAAGGCTGGAATATTATAATGAGCTAGATAATATATAATAATATTAATATTATAATAATAATAATATTATAATGAGCTAGAGCTAATGACGTCAGAAACTACCCACTCCTGAAACCTCCTGATTTATCTCCTGGATTCAGACTGAGGCAGCCCACAAAAACATGACTGAGTCCTTTTTTTTCCCACCTTTTTCCTGCTGATAGGCCCTCCACAGTCCCAAATGTACACAATCAAATTATTAAAAACTTGGTTTTGCATAATATGTCCCCTTTAAAATGCAACGCACGTTGACAGTGAAACATCTGTAACGGCGTTTGAAAGTAATTACAATACAGATAAGTTCTTTTTAAAAAGCCTCTGTGTGTTCTGAACAAAAACGGCATTTCCATCTGTTTTTTCGGGATTTCTGTCTTATTTTCGCAGCTTTCTGTGATTCCACCACGATTTAAGGAGATGGAAATTCAGAGCCTGATTTAGGTAAACCAGGAGGTCTTTGATCATCTCTACAGATACAGGAGGGCGGTGACTCCACATCCTAGTGCTGAAAATAAATGTTACAACCAGGAAGCTACCCAGGTTTTTTATAAGTGCTTTATTTTTGCTTTCATGTCTAATAGCTTCCAAACCAAAGGAAATAAATTTTCCTTTAAAAAAAACATAAAACAAAATAAAATCTAGATTAATTCATTTCTCTTTGTTAAGGTTTGGACCCTTGTCTTAATCAAGCTTCGTGAGCTTTTTTGGTTAGTTTTTTTTTTTTCTATGTTGAGTAACATCATCATAACAGTCAAACTTTAAAAATACTTTAGACTCTAACGGGTTTACCAGAGCTCTATGTGGTCACATCATCTCTACACTATTTCACAAAGCTGCCTCACTTTTCAATAGAAAGTTGCGAAACTGGACAGTGTTAAGACTGAGTTTTTTTTTTTTTTGTAGAGATATTTTATGTCCCAGATAATATTATTTTACCCTTAAGAAAAAAACACATTGGCGCCACTCAGTTCCAACAAATCATGGATTACTGTCCCATTAGAAAATGATCAATTCTATCTTAAATTGGCCTTTTTCCAGGCGTTAACGTATAAAATCCACAGATATGCTGTATTTACTGAATCATTTGACTGGTCTACCTGTGTGGAACTGGAAATATAATAAAAATAGTACATCAAATGACTCTCAGAGCCAGTGGTTATAACCTGTGGGTTAGTCCACACTAACCTGGGAGTAGTGGGTCCTCTATGCAGAGCATGGATGGCCTGTATCCGTTCGTCATGGTCTTCATGATCTCGTCTTTGGAAACGTACGAGCCTCCGTCTCTGATGCGAACCGCCGTTTTCAAGTAATTGAAATGTCGACCGTACAACTCAAAGAACTCGATCAGCAACATGCCCAGGTTCTCGTTGGGGTTTCTGGCGTCGATTCGAGGATGGAGCTAGAAAAAAAGGGGAAAAAGGACACAAGCTGAGTATACGGTGCCTTTAAAACATTACTGTTATCAGCCGAGATCCACAACAAGTTTAAAGAAGCTTCTAATTCTAATATAAAGGAGGGTTGTCACGATACTAAAATGTTCAACTCCATACCGATACTCAGGAAAATATTAAATACCATTTTCGATACCACAAGGATAAAAACAAAGACCCCGAAATTTAACTGAATTTATTAATTCTAGCTAGTGTCTTTGGTTTCAAACTGACCTGTTACTGACGTTATGGTGGCCCACATTAATGACCCTAACCCTAACCCTAACCCCTCATAATTGTGAGAAATAAATATTTTTTGGGTTAAACTTGTTTGGACTTATTGTACAAACCTATTTAACGTCCACTATTTTAACATAATATTATGGATAGAGTTTAATTCAGTGTTTGCAAGATGAATTTCACTATTTTAAAATGAATGTCTATTTTGCCATGAAGCTATTAGGATTTTCTTGCCTAGGATCTTCCTATTGGTGACCTATTAAAATTGGCCAACTTGGATGTGTGGGGGTTGGATATCCATCCTTGGCTTCCTGCAGACTTGATTAATGTTGGCGTGTTGTTATTAGCCATTAGCCGCAGCTAGCAATTCAAGGCTAACGCCACGTTAATGATCATAAACAACCTAAATAAATAAATAAATCAGAGAAAAGGGGGTAGATACTTTTGAAAATGAGTATCGTATCCGGATCCAACGTTTTAGCATCGATACTTATGACAACCCTAATATGAACACAGACTTTGTTGAGCCTGTTGACATTACTTCTAACAAGCTGCCACAAATGAGCTACTAGCATAAACGAGTCCACCCCGGTGCGCCGACAGGTTTTAAAACCTTACCTGCAGGAAGCTGATGACCATGAGGATGAGGCTGTAAGAGCTGATGCCCCCGGTGAAAACCTCGTTCAGATCTCTCTGAAGCAGGAACTGCTTCAGCACAAAGATCAGGTACGGGAGCACCGGGTACTTCTGAAAGCAGAGACACAGAGACACCGAATCAGAACGGTTGATTAATTATAAAGAATAGAGGAGGAAGACAGGATCCCAAAGAGAAGAAGCAGCTCAGCTTTCGGGACTCCGGCAGAGTGATTCAAAGAAGAAGAAAACATTTAGCTGTCATAACGTGTAGCCGCGCAGATAAAGAGCCAAAGGAGAAAAAGCCATTAGAGTTCCTACGAGTTTAACAGAGCTCTCTGTGGTCACAGTGGCAAACATTCAGGAGAGCTACGTGAATATTCTTTAAAAAACTAAATGCTGAAAAAAAACTACAAGCCTCAACTGAAGCTGTATTTAGAATTTGGCATTTCTTACGTAAATCAGACTAAATTACCTATTAACTAATTGGCTGCCAAAGACGTCTATAGAGGTCTTTTATGTTTTTCAACGAGAGTGTCTGGGGGACGATCTGCTAAAGCTTGTCCGTAAATATGGGCTTCTAGA